GAGTACAATGTCCTTGATTCTCTTTGAGATCCTGTCACAGGAATGAAAGTGTGTCTTCTCCAAAATGATTGTTTTGGGACCAATGCATTAAAACTAGTAAAGTTATTTTTTTACGAAATGTTGTACATGTACATCATGTAAATAAAGCTAGTGACCTTGATGTGCTTTATGCTGTGTTAAGAGTTTTTACTGTAGTTTTTATAACGTTTACAGAGAAACAAATTGCATAAACATAACTATTATATATAAAAAAATCTTTAACATTCTCAATTAATCACATATCATTATATCAATTAGTTGTAAACAAGTGCCTTATGCCTGTGATGGTTGTTGTGAAGGGGGGGGGGGACGTAGGTATCAATTTTCCACCTACAGCATCATTGTTTTTTGTTGCATTTAACTCAATTTCTACAAAGATTAAATGCTAGACTACAAAACTGGGACCATAGTTGCATCTTAACATCTTCATTTCAATTCAAGCATCAGATACTGAATGTGGCCTACTGTTAAGTGTCCTCATCAATACTAGTTGTATGTGTTTGGCTATGAGTTATGTATTACATCTCAAACAATTTTAAAGTTCTAGACCAACTTCAGTAGATCTGACTTCAAACATCAGATGCTGTAAGGGTCCTAGTTTGTATGGTCCAGCCACTATATCAGTGTTCTCATCAATGTAATTAACTTTCTTAAAAGTTTGGGTATAGGACTAACCAAACTGTGATCATAAATAATTCATTGGTAATATATCTGGTAGCCTAATTATTCATAAGCTGAATATGACCTTGATTTCATGATCTAATTAGTTTTTCAGCATCCTCATCCATTTAAGTTGCTATGTAAATTTGATATATAGGTTCCTCTTTGTCCCTAGTTATGCATGTTCACTTTTGAGACTGATCGGATAAACAACTTTGCCGACAGGAGGCCACCTTGGATTTTGACAGTGAATGTTTGTTATCACTAATTCTCAGGATGTTCTGGAGAAACCTTTCTAAAATTTGATACGTAGGTTCCCTTTGGTCTCTTGATGTGCATGTGTACTTTTGAGACTGATCAGATTAACACAATGGCTGACTTGCCGACATCTGGGATTTTGACAGTTAAGGGTTGTTATTGCTTTTGCTCAGAAAGTATTGGATGGATCTTTCTTTAACTTACTATGTAGGTTTTCCTTTGTCTTTAGTTGTATGTGTTTAATTTGGAGACTAATTGGATGAAAAATGCTGACATGTAGCTATCTTGGATACAGGTATTTGGCAGTGAATGTTTGTTTTTTCGCTTTTTCTCAGGAAATACTGCAAGGATCTTTCTCAATTTGTTCCGTAGATTCTCGTTCTTTAGACTTTAGTCTTCATGTTTTCTTTTGAGATTGATGGAATAAACAAAGATTACTTCAAGGTGCATTTACTGTTCCCATGACTCAATCAAACAGATAACAGAAAAGAAGAGAAAAGATCAAACTGACAAAGAACTAATGGAGATGGTACGTTCATGGGCGCCAAGATCCCTCTATGATCTCTTGTTTGATGTTTACTGTAGGGTGTGGGTACCCAAAATGGAATACTTTTGATATATATGATGCAGCAATTTTTATTTTGTAATAAAAAATAATGGTATATATTCTCAAGCAAAATTTAGATAGTTTTATGCATTTTGAACAAATATCATCTGCCTACCTTAATCTTAAACATTGCTCATAAACTCGATCGAAATATTTAAAAAATGAAATGGGGAAAAAAATCCCAGAAAAACAGTACAATGCGAAAACAAATATTCTATCATATTTCTAAACATGGAAAACTATATAAATGAGTAAAATCTGTCAGAAATTGTCAAAACTTTCCATTAAATGAAGAAAATACTTTTAAATGCTGTCAGTCATATTCATAAACTGACATACATGATGAAGTGTTCCATTTTGGGTACTCAACCAGCCAAAAATACCCTTTAACACACTTTAATGAGCTCTATAGATAGACACACATGCTGTTGATAGCCAAGAAATACATTAGATGTAAAAGAAACTTTGCTGGAAATATGAATATTTTTCTTTAAAAAAAAGGTGTTTCATTTTGGGTACCCTCACCCTAGATGAGGTGCTGAATATGACCTTTTCTAATATTGAAATTGTGTAATAAAGACAAAATGTAAACTTTTCGTTTACAGAAAGAAGTCTGATTTAACACTGAAGTTAATTTTCTGAATTTGAAGTGAAATTCCAGTTTAAATTAAATTTGAATTTGAGACTTTTCGAGTTTGAAAAAAGAAAACTATATAAAAATTCTGATATAAAAAATTGTTTCAAACGTTTTTATTTAGTTCTGTTCTATACCAAATAAACGTGCACCATTGATACACTTGTAGATATGTTTCATTAAATGTTTTGTTTTGATTCACAAATTAATTGCTGTGATTGCAGGGACATGTAAGACATAATTCCATGGCGTTATTTTGCTTTACTTTGAGTTTCCATGTTATCATGATTGTTCCCATATGACAATTAGTTCTGTGTGGTGATATGAAATAAAGATTGTAGATCGTGTTTTGCATATTAATCTTTTATCAACATTTCACTAAATCACTAAATAGTAACGGTTTGGAGGTACATATTCAGTAGATCAAAAACCAGAAGCAAAACAAAAATTATTTTTATGAATTAAGGTTTTATTTCTTAAACAAACAAAACGTAAACAGTTATAAATACAGTAATGACAATATCAAGGAATACACATGTTTGTACTGTATACAATGGGGGTGATGCACATTGTATGAAATCACATGGGAATTGTGACAATGGTGGATTTCCATATCGCTAATAACTTTGTTTGGCGTTCAGTTACTTGTAAGTGTTAATTTGTTAACAGTGATGTATTTTCAGACGGGGATACATCTTGATTCTCGTGTATCTATAACAGAAAAAACAAGATTTGCTAATTAAATGCTGTAGCATGCGGTGTGTTACATACACAAACATAAAGAGTCGGTAATACTCTACCAAAATATTTATTTGAGATACTTATGATTAATATCTCTTCAGATACAAAATATTGATAATGAATAACTTTTCTGATAAAACTAGCATCTTTTGTGATATCTCTACTAAAGCTGTACGGCTATGAGCCACTGTGACACTGTCACTATGTACACAAGTCATGGTTTTAATATATTTACCTTGACCTTTGACTTCCGTCTTTGTCTGTATACAGAGATAGAGCTGATGAGAGTGACCAATACCCCGATTGCTATTGATACGTAAGGTATATCGGACGCAATATTTACGGGTGTTTGATAAGATGATTTGATGAAGTCCGTCCAGTCATCTGTAATCATTGTACTCTGCCAACAAATAAAACTGAGTATGTTCAAACTGCACAAATACCTTATCCCTTACCGAGTTATTCCCGTTAAAATGTTTGTTGACTATGTTTTTTTAAATAATGAATGTATTAGTCTCCATTTTAAATGTTAAAAAAGGAGCTTAAGATTAAATAAGAGGTTCAAAAACTCATGACTAGAGTTAATCATATTTATCGTACTCAAATTAGTTACATTTTAAAAAGTTTTAAAAGCAAACAAGTTTTTGTGAGTTGTGAATTTAAAAAATAAAATAAAAATGTAAATACCTACAACAATGTCTGAAAATTTGTTCTACTACATTTATAGAATACACTGTCGAGTGATCGACATCGTTGTTTAATGTTTGTAAAATAACAATGTACAACAGGGATTTAATTGAGCCTTGCCAATAAATATACAAAATGGCTATGTTATATAATTATACTTCAAATGAAATGAAGGATTTTAATAAACTCTGAGTTTGTAAAGCTGGCTACTTGCAAATATAAGCATCCATTATGATACATGTAAAATCGCAGACAAATGTCAGTAATGGGAAGTTGGAATTCAAAGGATCTTTAGTATAAAGATCGCCAGGTTCCATAACTCAGGATTAAGGGTGACTATCAATGATCAACAGGGGCACTTATGGTACAAAAATATAGTTTAACCTATATTTTGTTACATTGTAATACCTGGCTGGGATTGTTCCCTATCCTATCCTTGTACGTTTTACATGCACTTTGTTACATTTTAATACCTTGCTGGGATTGTTCCCTATCCTATCCTTGTACGTTGTTTCATTGTAATACCTGGCTGGGATTGTTCCTTATCCTATCCTTGTACGTTTTACCTGTACGTTGTTACATTGTAATACCTGGCTGGGATTGTTCCTTATCCTATCCTTGTACGTTTTACCTGTACGTGGTTACATTGCATAACCTGGCTGGGATTGTTCCTTATCATACCCTTGTACGTTTTACCTGTACGTTGTTACATTGTTATACCTGGCTGGGATTGTTCCTTATCCTATCCTTGTACGTTTTACCTGTACGTTGTTTCATTGTAATACCTGGCTGGGATTATTCCTTATCCTACCCTTGTACGTTTTACCTGTACGTTGTTACATTGTAATACCTGACTGGGATTGTACCCTATCCTACCCTTGTACGTTTTTCCTGTACGTTGTTTCATTGGAATACCTGGCTGGGATTATTACTTATCCTACCCTTGTACGGTTAACCTGTACGTTGTTAGATTGTAATACCTGGGTGGTATTGTTCCTTATCCTATCTTTGTATGTTTTACATGTACGTTGTTACATTGCAATACCTGACTGGGATTCTTCCTTATCCTATCCTTTTACGTTTTACCTGTACGCTGTTTCATTGTAATACCTGACTGGGGTTGTTCCCTATCCTACCCTTGTACGTTTACCCTGTACGTTGTTACATAGTAATACCTGACTGGGATTCTTCCTTATCCTATCCTTGTTCGTTTTACATGCACTTTATTACATTGTAATACCTGGGTGGTATTGTTCCTTATCCTATCCTTGTGCGTTTTACATGCACTTTATTACATTGTAATACCTGCCTGGGATTGTTCCTTATCCTCCCCTTGTACGTTTAACCAGTACGTTGTTACATTGTGATACCTGGCTGGGATTGGTCCTTATCCTATCCTTGTTCGTTTTACATGCACTTTGTTACATTTTAATACCTTGCTGGGATTGTTCCCTACCCTATCCTTGTACGTTTAACCTGTACGCTGTTACATTGTAATACCCGGCTGAGATTGTTCCCTATCCTATCGTTGTACGTTTTACCTGTGCGTTGTTTCATTGTAATGCCTGACTGGGATTGTTCGCTATCCTATCCTTGTACGTTTTGCATGCACTTCGTTACATTGTAATACCTGCCTGGGATTGTTCCTTATCATACCCTTGTACTTTTAACCTGTACGTTGTTATATTGTAAAACCTGGCTGGGATTGTTTCTTATCCTATCCTTGTAAGTTTTACCTGTACGTTGTTACACTGTAATACCTGGCTGGGGTTGTTCCTTATCCTATCTTTGTATGTTTTACATGTACGTTGTTACATTGCAATACCTGGCTGGGATTGCTCCTTATCCTATCCTTGCACGTTTTACATGCACTTTATTACATTGTAATACCTGCCTGGGATTGTTCCTTATCATACCCTTGTACTTTTAACCTGTACGTTGTTAGATTGTAATACCTGGGTGGGATTGTTCCTTATCATTCCCTTGTACGTTTTACCTGGACGTTGTTACATTGTAATTCCTGGCTGGGATTGTTCCTTTTCCTATCCTTGTACGTTTTCCCTGTACGTTGTTTCATTGGAATACCTGGCTGGGATTATTCCCTATCCTACCCTTGTACGTTTAACCTGTACGTCGTTACATTATAATACCTGGCTGGGATCGTTCCTTATCCTATCCTCGTATGTTTTACCTGTACGCTGTTTCATTGTAATACCCGGCTGGGATTGTTCCTTAACCTATCCTTGTACGTTTTGCCTATACGTTGTTTCATTGTTATACCTGGCTGGGATTGGTCCTTATCCTATCCTTGCATGTTTTACCTGTACGTTCCTACATTATAATACCTGGCTGGGATTATTCCCTATCCTACCCTTGTACGTTTACCCTGTACGTTGTTACATCGTAATACCTGGCTGGGACTGTTCCTTATCCTATCCTCGTACGTTTTACCTGTACGCTGTTACATTGTAATACCGGGCTGGGATTGTTCCTTAACCCATTCTTTTACGATTTACATGCACTTTGTTACATCGTAATACCTGGCTGGGATTATTACTTATCCTACCCTTGTATGTTTAACCTGTACGTTGTTTCATTGGAATACCTGGCTGGGATTATTCCCTATCCTACCCTTGTACGTTTACCCTGTACGTTGTTACATCGTAATACCTGGCTGGGACTGTTCCTTATCCTATCCCTGTATGTTTTACCTGTACGCTGTTACATTGTAATACCGGGCTGGGATTGTTCCTTAACCTATCCTTGTACGTTTTACATGCACGTTGTTACATTGTAAGACCTGGCTGGGATTGTTTCTTATCCTATCCTTGTAAGTTTTACCTGTACGTTGTAACATTGTAATACCTGGCAGGGATTGTTCCTTATCCTCCCCTTGTACGTTTAACCTGTCCGTTGTTACATTGTAATTCCTGACTGGGATTGTTCCCTATCCTATCCTTGTACGTTTAACCTGTTCGTTGTTACATTGTAATAACTGGCTGTGATTGTTCCTTATCCTAGCCTTGTACGTTTTACCTGTTCGTTGTTACATTGTAATGCCTGGCTGGGATTGTTCATTATCCTATCCTTGTACGTTTTACATGCACGTTGTTACATTGTAATACCTGACTGGGATTGTTCCCTATCCTACCCTTGTATCTCCGATATCAGGTACATTTGTGTTTATTATCAAATACAGTTTTCTGCTAGCGACACATTTATGAAACATTATTGATGGTTTTCCTCTCACAAAGTGAGTTTGAGAATATTGACTACAGTTAAATATGTAGCGTTTTGAGTATCGACATAATTAGCTATTTTGGTGCAAATCTGCAAATCTGACAATACATGTGTTGTTTATAATTAAGATAGTTCTACATGAATTGAACAAGGTTCCCTAGAAGTGATAACAAGATCAGGAATTTTAGGAATAAGCAAGGTACATGTATCTTCAACCTCATCAAGCATTCTTAAAGGATGGTATTATGTCGTTATCTAGAAATCGCCATTTAAATATCCTTATAAAACAGTCTCGCTAACATAAAACAATTTTACTGTAAAGCGCTTGTAATAAAACAAGGAACTGGTTATTGTTATTTGCGGTTAACAAATTGTGGAATATTCGATTGGTTGAATTATTGTACAGACAATATTATTTACACTAATAAAATATTACTTAAATACAGTTTCCTTTATGATCTATTACCTCGTTAAACCAAAATACTGGAAAGTAAACGTCAGGTATGCTCTTCACAATTCTGTAAAAATAAAAAAGAGACACATATTGATAATGATCCCCGATAAGATTGGTTTGATCATATACAGCATCAAACAAAGGACAGAGCCCCAAGGGACCTCATCCTCGATATCCAGGGGTTACGCTGGAGGAAGGGACCTAAACACTCATTAGAGTTCTAATCGAAAATGTCTCGTCCAATCTGGCAACAGTGGTCATGTTTGGCTTTTTGATCGGCACGAAAAGTAATACCACTTGTTGGGGGTTTCATAAAGATCAAAGAACACTTGTTGGATAAATCTTAAAGACAATTTGTACCAAGTTTGAAGCAAATCAGTGCAGCCGTTCCTAAGAAGCAGTCGTCCAAAATGTCTCAGCCAATCAGGGGCTAGGAAGGATATCCTTATCTTTTGGATAAGCACGTTAAGTAAGAACACTTGTTGGAGACCTCATAAGAAATATTTGTACAAGATTGATACGAAAACTACGATCATGTATACAAAGTTTGAAGTCGATGAGTTCGGGGGTTGTGAAAAAAACGAAAATGTTAATTGTTAACGGACGAGGCATGATGAGCGACGACGGACGGAAACGTGGTAATAATAGATCACATGAGCACCGTGTTAGCCAATAAACATGCAACGAGTACATTAAATAATCTTTCTGTTGATTGGTTCTAACTTTTATTTTACAACAATTATGAAAGAAGTTATTTCAACTTATATAAATCACTCCTGTTAATCACCAGTCACTACAAATGATAGCACATTGATAGCCACAGGAATAGAAAGAATCTGAGCAAACAAAAAATGAACGAGTTATTAAAGTAGAAGTTATGTAGTGTATACGTGAATGTTTTGGACCAAACAAAAGTCAGTAGAATCCAGTGAATCAAGGGGTTACGCTCAGTTATTGACGTTCTCTGCAATTATGTCTTGACAAAATCGAAGGCACAAAGGAAGCTATTTGAGCTATTTCATGTGAAAAACAGACCAATACCAAGGCCGATACCTGTCCTTTGAAGGTTACAGAGGAGTGATATCGATCTTCAAAACCGGTCAATTTTACCGTTACGCTGCCGAACCGCTTCTTGAGATGTACATGAAAGGTTCACACTAGTCTACATGTATCTACATGTACATGAAAGGTTCACACTAGTCAACATGTATCTACATGTACATGAAAGGTTCACACTAGTCTACATGTATCATCCGCAATGTAGTGCGAACAGAGTCTTCAATGTCGTCGTCATGACAGAAATCGGGGGATGTAGAGAATGTAAGAAAGCGTAACACGTGGAATTTAGAGGATGTCTGCCACCGTGTCCAACGCATTAACATCGTAGGTTCGGCAGGGCAATCAACATAGATGAGTTCTTATTTTCCGGTGTTCAAGGATTTTGCCGAGACTGATTGTCGAAGTGTTTGCAATACCCGCTGAGAGTACATCGGAAATCTCAACACCAATTCATGTGCGTTTTATGCTCAAGCGACATATCTAAGGAGACACGATCTGTCTATCGCCGTTATTTCCCTCTGTATGATTATCCTTTACATTATTCAACGGAACATTCGTGCCAATTTAGAGCTTAGGAAAGGAAAGCAGATTCGTGGGTTTTGTTACTTGCACAGTGACCGAGTAGATGAAAATTAAACGTACAGCACTGTTGATATTACTCGGCGATCTCTGTCAGTTCAATTGCAGAAGATATGCTGACGTATTTGGAAAGTATGGCACTTATTAGGAAATATCTGTTACTTTGTAGCAAGATAACAGCAGAGGGAATACTAATATATTTCAGCTCATGTTGTCATATACTCCCGAGAAAAACATTTTCGGATGAAATAAAAATAAACTATAACATGCGTTGGCTATGCTCATATTTTTTGTGGGATCTCTATTAAAGGGCACTAAGCTATGTTAGTATTACAAGTCTAATAACATACAAAAACGTTTAAACAGTCGCACACTGCAATCCCAACATTTGCTATATGACATACAATATCACAATATACAAATTATATGACTTACAATATCACGATATGTTTGGTGTAATTGTACTTTCTGAACAACACACAACAGAAATGTTACAATGCTAAATACATATCACATTCAACTCCCGGATGTATGGACAATATCGCAATATGTTGACTCTTCTATATATTAGAGTCCATATGAATTAGTTAATAAAAACAAACTGTGCACAATGCAAACCATATTGATACTGTAATAAAATACCATCTATTTATAGAGAACGCTTTCCAGCCTTTCCTTGGGTGGTCTTTAATCAGAAGTTCAGCTGCATAACGGAAGTACGTACAGATTAATAATGCCACCACATCTGTCTGCACTGTTAATGCATCCTATACAAGTTATATGATGATGATGATGCTGCCAATAGTGATATAGAAATAATCAGACAATGGGATTGTCCTTGCTAGGAAAAGTACTATCTGCATATAACGTTTCCTTACAGTCATCTTATAGTATGGTACGTTAAATTTACCATGTGTAATTACTAGCTGATCCATATACAATGTACTCACTCAAAAGATGGATTGTTTCTTATAAGGATATTAATTTGGTACTTCCTTTCTGTCCTTAAAACACATCCAATATTCTGCAAATAAAAAAATGTATGAAGTGAATTACAAAGCAGTTTATGTGTTTTCATATCAAATTATCTATAAACAGCGTCTATTGTTGTCTCTTCAAATAATAAGATTCCCTCAAACGAGAGACGATCATTAAAATGAAAGATAACCCCAACCCCAACCTGTTAATAGGTCGTATTACAAGGTTTATATAACTATGAAAAGTGTATCATTTTTCTTAGCTCACAGTAGAATTATGTAAGCTGTTGATACCCGTTTTGTCATTGTGCTGTATATATATATGTTTTAAATTTAAGTTGAAATATAACAGAACTGATGAGGCTAGAAAGTAGAGTTTAAATTGTCCTTGCAATGTTTTGTTATTTGAAATCAAATATGGCCTCTATGAGAGCAATTTTAAATATTTGCTTTAAATTTAAAATCAAATTCCACTGAAGCAATTTGGCTGAAATTTAATGGAAATGATCGTCGTATGGTGCAGGCAATAATGAAGCTGACTAAAATTATAACGATATTTTGTTGCATATGTCTTTTTTTATCCCTTTTCTTTGCGGCAGAAGAATAACGCCTCTATTTTAGGCCTCCCCAAAGTGATCTTTGTTAAACTTTATGTTGTTTTAGTTAATTCGTGATTTGCCACCTCACACGGGACACAATTTTATTCGCCGAAATAGAAGGTCGGGTTGATGTATTTTCGTGCATCACTTAATTAATGTTTAGTACCTTAAATAGGTTATATTAGTCAATGTTAGTTGACTGCTTAACTCGTAGAAAAGAAATGTTATGTTGTCTCAAAAAGAACGACAACCTTACCTATTTCTGCAAGTTATATTTTGCCGGCCTCAAATTTTTCTCAGTTAAAGCATTTCAGTATTCTTCTACATTAATTCTCTCCCTTGTTTTTGCTTTAATTTTGTAATGGCGGTACATCGTTTCTTACCTGCATAAACGCGTTCAAATGTTATTCAATAAAGTCACTGATAAAGTAACTAACATACAATTTGAACATTTATTTTCAAAAGCGCTAATAAACATGAACAAATATACAGCTATACATAAACAGTACCGACACTTAATCTGAATTAAGGTTTATTGTTATTGGTCTATTCGAAGTGCCTAATTTTATATATGATCAACTAATATATACACTACATACTTGCATTACATCCATATAGGTTTCGTGGAGGGACACGTCAGGACTCATTCCATCCACTCCTTTTATTACATTTTCGTCTGCATAGAGGAAATGGGGCATGGATACCGAAAAAGGGGAGCCTGAAACACAACACGACACCATTGGAAGGTGACTGCAACAGTCTTACATAAGTCACTGACATATTATACTTTTCACTTATATAATGGCAATCATGTTTCCGTATCAATTCCAGATAAAATAAATACTCACTTCACACTCAACGTTTTAAAATACGTTTTAAAATCTGGAAGAAGTGAAACAATCGAAATAATGATTTAAAGGATTGTATGATTTGGTTGTATCACATTGTGATGGACTGATTGTTACACTCAACCAAATAACCACGTTAAAATTCACTCTGAAGAAACTGTTTGGAATAGGTTTAACCTGTCTTATAGATATCGTAGGTAACACGTATATTTCCTCAATCTGACAAGGGACAACATAAAAGCTTATCCATGCTAAGTACAGTGTTTTGTCTCGGGTTATATAAGGGCGGTTAATATGTATTTGTTTCCTTATCGATTCCGGTTGTTCTTAACCTAAATTTAGGTTTTGTAAATCATATTAATATCGTTTAGGGGTTTTGTTTATCTGCAGAAAAAAATACTTTCTGCGGTATCAGGTAGTTTTGTAATTTGATTGGGGACTTCTTATTGTATCCTCTGACCTTTCCTACAGACGCTGATGTTGTACAGTCCACTAGGGAGGCAGCTGTCTCTAGGTGTACAGAAGCCTGCGTTGGCAGGGTTGTGTTCGGGGCTGTCGAATATATCACGAGGATGCGCGAACCTGTACGTATCTATACCCCGCACTGTCGATTCTCTCTGGAAATCCACCGTCATAGACCTAAGGTGATATCAGAAAACAATCTGAAAGTCCTAACGTGATACGGCACATGGTAAACCTTTACGATTAGGCCCATACAAGTAACTGTGGTTTGACTATTTTCGAGGTGGCACTGCTACAATAATGTATACTTATGTTTCTCTCGGTACTAGAACAAATTAAGTGCACTATCGTCAAAAGGAAAACGTTTTAGTTGATTTTTGCAGTAGCGAGAGATATTAACCCTAGTCTGTTGTATTACCACTCGATATAATCCGGAACAGCTAGGCAAACCGAATACGTGTGTTAATAGGGGAAATCAAGATTCCTACCGAAACTGTGCAATAGTCAGGTGTGCAGCAAATATTGTGAGTTTGCAGACATTAGATATTATACATTCTTATACAAAAACAGTCTGCCCCGTTAAAGATTATGCTATGAAATTGTATGATAACGCTAAATAAAAGCCAAATTAAACACGGAATATACGACGTTTATTTCAGGCCGATGAGCGTATCGAATAACATTAGACACCACAATTTAGGATTTCGTCATTTGCACCATTGCACAGAATTAGAGTTATGTCCCTTGCAGTTAAAATGTGTATGGTTCTCATTAGTTATAACGTAACCCACCAAGATGACAATATGTAGGTCTCACAGTACAAAACAGTCTTCAGATACACGACGTGCGACATTTGCTCACCTGCAAAGCTCCGAAAAAAAGAATGGTGGGTGATCGGTTTTCTTAATGAATGGATGAAAAAGGTTACCATCTGTAAGAATAAAAACAAATATTGTAAAATGTATGCCTAACTTTAACCGTTCGAACATGGTTTCAACCAGTCTTTGTATATAGATACGTTGATAGAACTTCATGAATTGAACATCACATCACCAGCGCAAGTGAACAAAATTGGTTTTACAAAAGTCAATACGAAAAGGAAACAAATCAGCTATTGGGGACACATCAAAACAAAACTGTATTTGTACCCCTCGTCCACATAAAGGCGAAACTGTAATCTGCGGAAATGTAAGCAATTTCTATACCTCAGCATGCATCCATCATTATATCTCATGTCAAATTCAGGTCACAGCCATTTAACGCCTTTAACATGACAATGACAAACATGCATAATTCATGCAGTAACCTCATTATAAGACTATACTTTCACAAATATATTACATTTAAAAAGGCTTACCCCATCATATAGAATATACACTTACACTAATACGTGATAGCGACAATGAAATACTTTTGTTTTCTGCCCTTGGATTGAAGTCGATTATAGGAAAAGTGTATCATCGTGTCAAGTCGATATAACAAAATGACAACAGCAAAAGAGAAGACACCAGAACAATGAAGGATCTAATAAATCCACAGAAAACAAAGACATGTTTACATGCAACTTTTCTCATTCACAGGCATGGGTTCTGTCGATAGCCAGGGGTTCTGTCGATAACCAGGGGTATACGCTCACTTTCTCTCTCTGCACCACTGGAAGATGTCATAGCAAAATTGAAAGCTCGGTGTGCACCGCTTTGTGGATGAGACGAGGAGACTTGTTTGATTCGTTGATGTACATCAAAAGAATTTCGCGGTCGCGTAACGGTAAAACTTACTGATTTTGAAGTCGGACGTCGCTCCTCTGTAATCCTCAAAGGACAAGTATCATCCTAGTGATTGGTCAGGTTTTTTTACCTGGCATCAGTCAAATAGCTAGCCGCGTGCCTTCAATTTTGCTATGACATATTCCATGGGTGCAAAGAGCGAAAGTGAACGTAACCCCTGGAGTATCGAGGATGGGGTTCTGTGCTCAAACCCATTTATCTATAAATCGTTCGAATCAGGTGACATGATACAAAGTCAGGTATAAACGTTTAAATCAAAATTTTGCTTGAATGTTCTTGAAAATTCTTTCAAATCATCAAAAATTATTAATTTTTATTAACCTATCACCTAAACGAGAAATCGGGCTTGGACACAGAGATTAGTTCTGAGCCTGAGAACGGTTTCATGAATACGAGCCGTGCTGTTTCGAAAGACTGCGTGTTTTCCGAACCAGACTTGATTTTCGTCATATTCGGGTACTTACGCAGATCAATAACAATCAGAGATGCAGGGTAAAAAGTCTTTAGTTATGGTAATTGTCATAGTAAAAATCCCCTCCCATTGTAAATATCAAAACGTCTTTCCCAGTTTGCATTTATAATACAAACAAATATACAAATGTGATACGTATTTGTATACATACCAGTACCGTTTATCATGTTACTCTCGTTTGTGCTCCAGTAGTTCAACTTGCTAAAACACAAGGACGTCATCAATTAAACCTCAAACATTTCTTTATAATAATAATAATAATAATAATTGGAGGTTCGTATATACCGCTTTATCACAACCTAGTTCGTAGGTCGTCTCACAGCGATTCACAAATTATTATCCATGGTTATAAGGCCTTTGCAACCAGCCAACATCTTTCTCAACTCCCTTGGGAGCATACAGCTGGATCTGCCATTTCGGCGCTCACAGCTAGCATTCCACAATTCTAGCACTACCCAAACACGTATTCATTTACAGCTGAGTAGACTGGAACAAGCGGAGTAAAGTATCTTGCTTAAAGATGCCGTGGCTCGAACCCGCAACCCTTCGGTCACGAGCCCGGCGTCCTACCACTAGACTACCGTGTCTCCTGATATATATCACCACATTACAATGAGTAGGAACAATTTCCATTGTTTCGTCATTCAGGCCGGCTTCCTCGTCCGTTTCGGGATTAAAATTGAAGACGACACATTTAAGAGAATAACTGAAAATCGGATATATTTCTTCGACTAGTTACATTGCTCGACTAGTTATAGTTACATTGCTCGACTAGTTACATTGCTCGACTAGTTATAGTTACATTGCTCGACTAGTAACATTACTCGACTAGTTATAGTTACATTGCTCGACTAGTTATAGTTGCATTGCTCGACTAGTTATAGTTACATTGCTCGACTAGTTACATTGCTCGACTAGTTACATTGCTTTTCGATGAAACATGTACCGGGGATAAACCACAGATTTGTAGCTGATATCTAAGACACTCACCTAATACCGTTCCAAAACCGAATGTCGAAATTACTTGCTATACCCCGTTTGCCAGAATCTACAGTCCAGACTCCGTCGTCTGTGTTATTTAACTGCAAGACAAAAATAATTGATTGATTGATTGATTGATTGAGTGATTGATTGATTGATAGGTTTTACGTCCGCTTCACTACCGAATAGTTCGGTTATCCAGCAGACGATCACACAAAAATAATATAAAAAGAGGCCCATTATACTGAATGTATGTAGCTAAATTTAATATAGGAATGTGAATGCACCAAGTCATTTTAAGAGCAATGATCGTACGTCGGAAATGGTTAACGAGAAACAGCATTATTATTGAATGTTAAATAATAGTAATTCGAAGTTCTTATATACCGCTTTATCACAACCTAGTTCGTAGGTCGTCTCAAAGCGGTTCACAAATTATTATCCGTGGATATAGGGCCTTTACAACCAACCAATATCGTTCTCAACTCCCTGGGGAGCTTACAGCCATTTCGGCGCTCACAGCTAGCATTCAACAATTCTAGCACTACCCAACCACGAACTCATTTACAGCTGAGTAGACTGGACCAAGTGGAGTAAAGTATCTTGCTCAAAGATACAACACAGTGTCGCGTCGTGACTCTAACCCGCAACCCTTCGGTCACGAGCCCGGCGTCCTACCACTAGACTACCGTAACGCATTAACTGTATGAGGTGTGTAGTAAGCTCAGTGTGCTTTACTCTAACTCCCATCTCGGTGGGTTATGAGTTGTTACCTAAGCAGCGACGTTGTTTGAACTGGATGGCGAGTGGAAAGTGAAAAGTTTACAGGTAACATATCTATACGAGAGCTACTAACCACGGGCTTCCTCTAAATTCTTAGAGCGAAATGAATCTGACGATTTTGGCTTTAACAATGCACCCTTAACCGACGATTAAGACGAAACCCCTCCTTTTCTGTATCATATTCAAAGAGTTGTATATCTAAATAGTGAGCATTGCCAAAATACGTGGGAATCCAAGTTCCGAAGGGGGTAAATATTAGAAGTAAACATGTTTATGAGAGATTTCTAGCGTCAAGACGAACAGATATTGCTAAAAATGTATCACACTGCATACCATATAAAAAAAAAAATTACAAGTTCACCCAATTCCATTGCACGGTATGTACAACTCACCTTATAGAAAAAGCCGAATTGGTCATCAAACGGAATGTCCAGCTCGTGCAAAACTTCGTTGACCTTGTGTAGGATAGTGTCGTTATAACCCCAAAGCAGGTCATGGACAGAAAGACGAATGAAAAGTTTATTGTCATCTACAGAATCTGCCAACAACTCTGTCATCACCTTGATAAATTCATACTCAAACCGGATCGTATTGAACATTGTCTGAAAATAAAGCACATTCGGTATTACATAAAGATGAGGACATCAGCTGGCTAAATAGCGATCTTTCAATTGAATTTTCAAAAAAATGATTAGATTAAATTGTCAAATAAAACCATGTTATTCAAAAGCTGTTAATGAATGCCTATACGATGATTACGAATATTTAACAAAACAAAAACACCCCTAAATAAGGTCCCTGAGTATTCAATGTTGACATAATATATACTAGTATATTGTGTGTAATATGTTGATATTCTAGATAATATGTATTCCATTTGCGTATTTCTATGACTTATTTTTTTTATCGGATGTTCAATTTCTCAGTGATGGGTTGGTACTGACCAGTAAAATTATGTTGACCGTTGTAAATGTGTCGGACTCTGGCCCCACTGACCTTGACCGGTCAAACACATACGTATCAGGTTCACGATAGGACACTGTGCCGTTTGCGTTGAAAGTGACGTTATCTTTTATCGAAATTAGTCTGCAAATGAAAAAAAATCAATCACAATGTTAAAAAATAACAAGACAACATCAATGTGTTAACCAAATCGTAATACGAAATCAGGCGTTCCGGAAGAGAAAGCGTCTTTGCTTCATAACGCATAGATCAATGCATTAGGAAACGTCTGTTGTAGACGTACCAAGAACTTTATTATATCTTATCTATTATGACATAAGATATTTGTCATTATCAAATGGTTTAGGTTACCTAGATATTTTCAGGTTATGTAAATAATCGATTTTGGCAAATCTAAAAGTATGATAACGTACCGATATTCGACTTAAACATACATATTCAATGCTTTTTGCGTTATTGCATAGCAATTCTGTTTCAATTCAGATGTCCGTCACATAAGCTATGAATGCTATGGCCCAATTGTTGACGTTCTCGTCTCGATCTTTACTTTATTTGTAAGACATCTAGCGAAGCAGATTTATTCAAAGAGAGTACATAACACGAACAAATTGTACACGCGAATGATTTCCTATCGGACACTTTTCGGGTCTTTCCGTCATACAAATTCAAACTTTGCTGAAAAATCTCCAATCATTTCAGACTGTTGGTTGTCACCCAATGGAAATTATGTATAAGATTTAATTCTGCATCAATGTTTTTTTTCACTGTTGCTAAAATGTTGCTTTTGTACTGTTGCTTTTTTATGTTGTAAAATGTAAAATGTATATAAACAATAATATTGTTGTGTGGTGGACCGTAAATGTGGAGATGAAATGCAAATCGTTAACACTTATGATGATATACCACAGTTCTATTAAAACTTCCCTCCCGATATTTAACTGACATTGACCATTGCTCCTCCCTTGACAATGGCGTGTATATGCCTCGAATAAGTATTCATTCCTGAAATATATGCTAAATTTTGAATAATCAGTAATATTTTTCTATGCAATTGAAAATATTTCAAAATTGTTATTAAGGAAAAGGACTGACTTTTTGGAGGATAAGTAATATTTTACTTCAAAAAATGAATTTAATTACATAAAAATATATGTGTATCATGAAATGACACTATTTTGATAGTGTGTTTATGCATTGTGTAATACAGAGTTATAAATGTGTATCATGAAATGTAACATGTATGACGGAGTGTACATTTATAGTGTGATGTAGAGGCATAATGTATATGATGAAAAGTAACTAATTATGTGCTGTATAATAGTAAAATGGAAGTTTTGGTATATGTTTATGAATAAATGTATTACCAACAATGTAACTGTGTATAGATATAATGTAATGTAGTAGTACAACATATATGAACATATAAAAATAGAACTACAATGTATTATAATAGCACGTATAGGTATAATGTAATGCAGTGGTACATGTGTATGTATATAACTTAATGTAACTAGTAGGACTGTGTGTATAGAAGGATAATCAATGTAATGATATTCAATTAATGTAACTAGTAGGACTGTGTGTATAGAAGGATATCAATGTAATGATATACAAGTAATGTAACTAGTAGGACTGTGTGTATAGAAGTATGATAAATGTAATGGTATACAATTAATGTAACTAGTAGGACTGTCGGTATAGAAGGATAATCAATGTAATGATATATAATTAATGTAACTAGTAGGACTGTGTGTATAGAAGGATATCAATGTAATGATATACAAGTAATGTAACTAGTAGGACTGTGTGTATAGAAGGATATCAATGTAATGATATACAAGTAATGTAACTAGTAGGACTGTGTGTATAGAAGGATAGTCAATGTAATGATATACAATTAATGTAACGAGTAGGACTGTGTGTCTAGAAGGATAATCAATGTAATGATATACAAGTAATGTAACTAGTAGGACTGTGTGTATAGAAGGATAGTCAATGTAATGATATACAATTAATGTAACGAGTAGGACTGTGTGTATAGAAGTATGATCAATATAATGATATACAATTAATGTAACTAGTAGAACTGTGTGTATATAAGTATGATCAATGTAATGATATACAATTAAGGTAACTAGTAGGACTGTGTGTATAGAAGTATTATCAATGTAATGATATACAATTAATGTAATTAGTAGGACTGTGTGTATAGAAGTATGATCAATGTAATGATATACCATTAATGTAACTAGTAGGACTGTGTGTATAGAAGGGTAATCAATGTAATGATATACAATTAATGTACCTAGTAGGACTGTGTGTATAGAAGGATAATCAGTGTAATGATATACAATTAATGTAACTAGTGGGACTGTGTGTATAGAAGGATGATCAATGTAATGATATACAATTAATGTACCTAGTAGGACTGTGTGTATAGAAGGATAACCAATGTAATGATATACAATTAATGTAACTAGGAGGACTGTGTGTATAGAAGTATGATCAATGTAATTGTATACAATTAATGTACCTAGTAGGACTGTGTGTATAGAAGGATAACCAATGTAATGATATACAATTAATGTAACTAGGAGGACTGTGTGTATAGAAGTATGATCAATATAATGATATACAATTAATGTAACTAGTAGTACTGTGTGTATAGAAGTATGATCAATGTAAGGGTATACAATTAATGTAACTAGTAGGACTGTATGTATAGAAGGATAATCAATGTAATGATATATAATTAATGTAACTAGTAGGACTGTGTGTATCGAAGGATAATCAATGTAATGATATACAATTAGTGTAACTAGTAGGACTGTGTGTATAGAAGGGTAATCAATGTAATGATATACAATTAATGTACCTAGTAGGACTGTGTGTATAGAAGGATAACCAATGTAATGATATACAATTAATGTAACTAGTAGTACTGTGTGTATAGAAGTATGATCAATGTAATGATATACCATTAATGTAACTAGTAGGACTGTGTGTATCGAAGGATAATCAATGTAATGATATACAATTAGTGTAACTAGTAGGACTGTGTGTATAGAAGGATGATCAATGTAATGATATACAATTAATGTACCTAGTAGGACTGTGTGTATAGAAGGATAATCAAGGTAATGATATACAATTAAGGTAACTAGTAGGACTGTGTGTATAGAAGTATGATCAATATAATGATATACAATTAATGTAACTAGTAGTACTGTGTGTATAGAAGTATGATCAATGTAAGGGTATACAATTAATGTAACTAGTAGGACTGGGTGCATAGAAGGATAATCAATGTAATGATATACAAGTAATGTAACTAGTAGGACTGTGTGTATAGAAAGATGATCGATATAATGTAATGTAGTAGTACAACATATATGAACATATAAAAATAGAACTACAATGCATTATAATAGCACGTATAGGTATAATGTAATGCAGTAGTACATGTGTATGTATATAACTTAATGTAACTAGTAGGACTGTGTGTGTAGAAGTATGATCAATGTAATGGTATACAATTAATGTAACTAATAGGACTGTGTGTATAGAAGTATGATCAATGTAATGATATACCATTAATGTAACTAGTAGGACTGTGTGTATATAAGGATAATCAATGTAATGATATACAATTAGTGTAACTAGTAGGACTGTGTGTATAGAAGGATATCAATGTAATGATATACAAGTAATGTAACTAGTAGGACTGTGTGTATAGAATCATAATCAATGTAATAGGAGACAATTAATGTAACTAGTAGGACTGTGTGTCTAGAAGGATAATCAATGTAATGATATACAAGTAATGTAACTAGTAGGACTGTGTGTATAGAAAGATGATCGATATAATGTAATGTAGTAGTACAACATATATGAACATATAAAAATAGAACTACAATGTATTATAATCGCACGTATAGGTATAATGTAATGCAGTGGTACATGTGTATGTATATAACTTAATGTAACTAGTAGGACTGTGTGTATAGAAGTATGATCAATGTAACGGTATACAATTAATGTAACTGGTTTGTATAATGTAATGTAGTGTGTAAATAATGAACACATAACTACTAGGCTTACAATATATTCTATTTAATTGTAAATGTAAAATATATGTTTATCTTTTTTAACATAATATGGCTAGACTTGAAATTCATTGTTTTTATGAAAACACTTTAGTTGCCTGTTTTATAATGCACGTTTCTTCGATTCCATCAGTTGGTCGTGTACATTAATATACAACCGATTTCATTGGTCATTAGACGTATCTATTAAGCGGGTGTTGCGGTATGAGATTTATTATCCAACAGACTTTCCCGGTTGCCCTACGGCTCTTCCCGGTCTACATGTTTATGTCAGAGACCTACACTTGTAAAGTCCTTCAGGCCGAGTTTATCGTAACGATGTTTGTTCGTCAGAGACCCCTACCCCTGCACCGTTATCGATTGTCTAGACGCTGTGATAAAAATTGACGCAATATATATAACAAGTCACCATTGTCAGTGATTCCGTTTTCATCCATAATTTGTTGATGAATCAGCTGTTATTAAACAGGTGGTGAACACTTTGTAACAATTGTTATTGATTTCTGTATTCGTAAATATACCTTCTCCATTTGTACCTTTATATAACTTCCCAATTAATACCTGTATATACATTCTCAATTTGTACCTGTATATACCTTCTTAATTTGTACCCATATTTCTACCACAACACGCTGTGTTATTCCACTCTCAGATCATAGACTGTCGAATAAATAGGAGTTCTACACCACACGTTGTATATGACCTTCCGTGGTTTTGATTGGTCGAGAATATGAACCTTGACCGGACGACTTTTTTCACGCGCTTTTTGCCGCGTGCTGTTTTGTTTACGTCGTCTGCTGTAACATCCGGCAAATGTTGGTGACTTTTGTGAGGTTATGCGATGGGGACAGGGGATTATTAAGGCAATACCAAAAGAAGATGATGCTTAAAGATTTGATCGCTAGTTTCAGGCAAAATTGCTACAGACGCTCGATATCGTTTCGACGCCATACCGTCGCGTGTCCAGGCCTAAAACCCAGAGACGTATCGATAACATATATGTCTCTGTGAAACCCAAACAAGATCTGTAACAGTGTCGGAAAGTATTTCATTCTCCCATGTCCCGTTTTCAATATTTGGAGGGCCTGTCTATGGCGGAACTCTCACTATAAACGTCAACCATAGAACCTCACGACGAAACGTCCCAGGCGTATGGTTTTGGACAATGACAGCGCTAAAGGTCGTGTCTTTTGTAACTTTCGAAAATTAACTAACTCGAGTGAAATATATACCATAATCAACAACCACTCCTTGTGTAACCTCTATATAACTTCCAAATTAGTACCTGTATATACCTTCCCAATTTGTATCTGTACATACTTTTCAATTTGTACCTATATATATACCTTCCCAATTTTGACCCGTATCCACATTCTCACTTTGTACCCGTTTATAACGTCCCAATTTTTTTACCCGTATATATCTTCTCAATTTGTACCCGTATATACCATCTCAATTTGTACCTTTATATATCTTCTCAATATGTATCTTTATATACCTTCTCAATTTGTACCTTTATATATCTTCTCAGTGTGTACCTTTACATATCTTCTCAATTTGTACCCGTGTATACCTTCTCAATTTGTAACTGTATATGCCTTCTCAATTTGTACCTGTATATACCTTCTCAATGTGTACCTTTATGTACCCTCTCAATTTGTACCCGTCCATATCTTCCCAATTTGTACCTGTACATACCTTCTCAATGTGTACCTTTATGTACCATCTCAATTTTTAACTGCATATACCTTCTCAATTTGTACCTGTTTATACCTTCTTAATATGTACCTTTATATACCTTCTAATTTTGTACCCGTCCATATCTTCCCAATTTGTAACTGTAGATACCTTTCCAATTTGTACCTGTATATACCTTCCCAATTTGTACCTGTATATACCATCTCAATTTGTACCCGTATATACCATCTCAATTTTTACCTGTATATACCTTCTCAATTTGTACCCGTATATACCTTCTCAATGTGTACCTTTATGTACCTTCTCAATTTGTACCCGTCCATATCTTCCCAATTTGTACCTGTACATACCTTCTCAATGTGTACCTTTATGTACCATCTCAATTTTTAACTGTATATACCTTCTCAATTTGTACCTGTTTATACCTTCTTAATATGTGCCTTTATATACCTTCTAATTTTGTACCCGTCCATATCTTCCCAATTTGTACCTGTAGATACCTTTCCAATTTGTATCAGTTTATGACGTCTTAAATACATTTCTGATACGAGATGTGTTTGAAAGCTCATCGATATTCATGATAACTCGGGAATGTCGGTTACACGTTGATAATTTGACACACTAAAAAGTAACTGCTTCGTAGGAATAAAAGAAACCTGTCAAATATAATTCGACTGGTTAATTATTTGCATAAGCATAGATATTTATATGTACTGAAACATATAATACATTCCAGTGCGTACAGCACGAATACATTGTATCTCTTCTCTAAATCATAAACATTGAACAAAATTGAAGTTGAAAGAGTCAGATGTTGCTGTATATGTATTACATGGTTAGTCAGGGTTTATGTTTATATGCAATTGGACAAAATCCTGTCATTTCTACAGGAAAAGGAGGAATTTGAAGAATTTGCTATGTTTCCCCTATTGGGCCCGGCCCCTCTACCCCAAGGAGGGGTCAGATCCACCGTTGATACACAATTAGTTCTCCTTCACCCAAGGATGCTTTAGACCAAATATATGGATATAATCCTGTCATTCCTACAGTAGAAGAAGGATTTCAAAGCCATTTTTCTGTTTTCCCTATTTTGCCCGCCCCTCTGTTGCAGGGGGTTAAACCCCCAGTTTTTACAAAATTGGTCCCCCTTCACCTAAGGATGCATCGTCCCAAATTTGGATAAAATCCTGTCATTCCTACAGAAGAAGAATTTTAAAAGAATTTGCTATATTATCCCTATTGGGCCAAACCCTTCAGGCCCCAGGGGTGTCAGACTCACGATTTATACAAAATTGATATCCCAATAGGATGCAACTGTTCAAATATGGTGAAAATACCTTCAACAGAAGAAAAAGGATATTAAAGCTTTTCTTCTATATCCCTTATTGGGCCTGTCTCTCTGCGCCCAGAGTGGTCAGGCACACCGTTTATACAATATTGGTTCCCCTTCACCAAATGATGCTTCATACCAAATTTGGACAAAATTCTGTCATTCCTACAGCAGAGGGGGACCACACTCACTGCTTATACAAAATTGAGTCCCTTTTGCCCAAGAATGCTCCAGACTAAATTGGGATGAAATCCTTCAATCACTATGGTAGAAGAAGGATTATTTTAAGGTTTTACTTCTATTTCCAGATTGGGCCCTGCCTCTCTGCCCCTAGGGGGCCACACCCACGTTTTATACAAAATTTACTCCCCTTGGCCAAAGGACGGCCCAGACTAAATTAGGATAAAATCCTTTAATCCATATGGTAGAACAAGGATTTTTTAATGTTTTACCTCTATTTCCCCTATTCAGCCCCTCTGTCCCGAAGGGGGGATACACCAACCCTTTATACAAAATTGAGTCCCCTTGGCCGAAGAATGCTTCGGACGAAATTAGGATAAAATCCCTTAATCCACACGGTAGAAGAAGGATTTGAAAGGTTTTATCTCTATTTCTCCTATTTAGCCCTGCCCCTCTGCCCCCCAGAGAGGCCACATCCACTGTTTATACAAACTTTAGTCCACTTCTCCAAAAGATGCTCAAGACTAAATAAGGATAAAATCCCTTAATCCCTACGGTATAAGAAGGATTTTGAAGGTTTTACCTCNCCCCCCCCACCCTCACCCCCAGTGGACACATCCACTGTTTATACAACATTTAGTCCCGTTGGCCCAAGGATGCTCCAGACTAAATTGGAATAAAATCCCTTAATCCCTAAGGTAGAAGGGTTTTAAAGGTTTTATCTTTATTTCCCCTATTCAGCCCCGCCCCACTGCCCCAGGGGGGTCACACCCACCATTTATACAAAAAAGTCCCCTTGGCCTAAGGATGCTCCAGACCAAATTTAGTAAAAATCTACTTGGCCGTTCAGGACAAGTAGCGTTTTAAAGGTAAAGTTGACGGACGGACGACGGACGCTGCGGTATGGCATAAGCTCACCATGGTCCTTCGGACCAGGTGAGCTAAAACCGACAGATGTTACAAACCCTGTTAAACGTAATAATATGTCATCTATCAGTTATGGTGCAACACAAGCATCGTCTTGTATTATACTGGTAAAAGATATATTTTTCAAATTAATTTAATTATATTTATTACTTTTTATATATGCAATAATCAAGCATGTTTTAACATACATATAATACATACATAACTGTATAGCCTCTTCAACCAGTTTGATTTCGTCCAATGGGATAACAAGCCGGTATTAATTCCAACGAAAATATTCATTTATGAGTAAATGCATTGCGGTTAATGAACGATTACTATCTAGGCTAGGTACTACAGTGGGATATAGGGTAAAGTTTAATACTAATGTAAACTCCACACCTGTATGTGTATGGTCCCTTTGGGTGACAGCTATTTATACTAGGTACTACAGTGGGATATGAGGTATAGATTAATCTTAATGTAAACTCCAAACCTGTATGTGTATGGTCCCTTTGGGTGACAGCTATTTATACATGGTACTACAGTGGGGTATGGGGTAGTTTAATATAAATGTAAACTCCGCACCTGTGTGTGTATGGTCCCTTTGGGTGACAGCTATTTAAACTAGGTACTACAGTGGGATATGAGGTGTAGTTTAATCTTAATGTAAACTCCAAACCTGTATGTGTATGGTCCCTTTGGGTGACAGCTATTTAAACTAGGTACTACAGTGGGATATGAGGTGTAGTTTAATCTTAATGTAAACTCCACACCTGTATGTGTATGGTATCTTTGGGTGACAGCTATTTATACTAGGTACTACAGTGGGGTATGGGGTATAGTTTAATACAAATGTAAACTCCTCACCTGTATGTGTATGGTCCCCTTTGGATGACAGCTATTTTCTTATTCATTTTAGATACTTCCTCTGGATTCATTACATCAAAGAAATAAAACTCAAAATATATTGGAAAAGGCGGTTCCTTCCATGCTCTGTATACAAACGTCCCCTCTTCCAGGGTAACTTCCTGTTTTGATAAAACAAAAACAACAAAATCATTACTCAAATGACTTTGAAATATGATGAAAATCCCGTAACACAATTCAATTAATTATGGTGACCTATCTAAATTGAACAACTAATTTCTCGCCGAGACAAATTTTCTGTAACACGTGTTTTATTTGGAAATTCATATCGTATGATGAAATATCACACATGTGTGACTTGGTGAATTTACGTAGGTTCCAAAAAAGGGCAAAACAATTCTCATAATTTGTTCTAGGGGTGCCAGCCTGTATAATTTATTATTTAGGCACACCAGACGTTAGAAGACACTATGGACACACTTTGATAGTAGTGACATATCTGTAAGATTCCTAATAATTTGCAATACCCTGAAGCATTCAATAACACTTTCAACCTCACTAGGTTACTGGTCGAATTCTGTCAGATTTCTTGGCCGAACACCTATCTAGGGGGGATTTGGACACACAAACAGCAAGGAACGGAATAGAGCAAACATATACTGATGAATAGATTCTTGCGAAAACCTAATGAGGAAGAAAGTTGGTCTTACTCCTAGCGATGAACAGGGTACAGTGTAAGTAATGCTTAGAACTGTAGATAATTACGTGAAATATACACTTTGTTTCCCCCTTAAAAGTTCCCGTCTTTGTGTATGCTTTTTATTTAAATTATCATGGTTTCTGTCACTATTTGATAATTACTGATTAGATTAGGAGAGTAAACGTGTATGGAACGCCGATACTATATGTATTTTATATTTTTGGATAAAATACAAAACACTAATATAGAATATCAAAATAGCGCATAATATCAATTTTTCGTTGTAAATCTACCGTTCAATGTTTACCACTGAAGGCTTTCCGTTAATGATTTACAAAGATAGGTGTGCTACTTGAAATTGCATTATGTAACATCACTATGGAGCTTGACCGCTGAACACCCGACTCACGTGTTCTTAACAAATGACACATGCATGATAACAGTTATTTATATAAAAAAAAGTGTCACATGTGTTCACCTGATCTTCGATAGCAACTTTGCTTAAAGTGGAGAATTCGACCTCTATTTTTAATACATTCAGAAATTACACACAGCGTAGCAATATTACTTTAACGTTATAGATCTTATGAAGATGTTGTACAAAGCGTTATCGATGTCACATACATGTTAGATCTGGTGTAGTATGGTATGGTCGAAATCTCATCTCGTGCAAAAGTTTGTTAACAAGTTAAGAAACGATTCTTGTAACACAATTAATAAGTGTTTATATACGACTTTCCAATGACTAGTACGGTATGTACTCTGTCACCTTCATCACACAAGTAACCATTGAAGCGTGTGTACAAAAAGGTGTAAAATGTGTACGAGTTGTCTACAAATCAATGTCGATTCGGCTTCGCTGTACGCGTATGTACAATAGTACACTTTTAAGCAAATGTTTTTGCCAAAATCATAACAATTACATGGTCATTATTGCAATCAGACAATCTGTTTTCTTATCTTATGAATTAATAATAATATTGATCGTAATCAAGTCAATAGGATTGAATTTTTCTGTGATAATTGATTATTTTTATTGTTTTATTTTACATTCAAGGAACAAAATGGCTTTCTCCTTGGATGTTTTGTAGACTTGTGTCAACTTTCAATATAAATATATATGTGGTTGTGAAAACCGAACCATAAATTTTGTAGCAACTTCCTTGACGTTAAATGCTCATTTCAACAGACCTCACACTTATTATCAACTGTTGGCTGTCGACTGTGTTCTCTGTCGTATGTTAATATAGCTGATAACCTAATTCAAACAGACTCAATCTGAAGTGAGAAGATAACATCTTGTTGATGGTATGCTGACAGTTGACACATCAGTGTACTCTACCTTGTTGTATATGTTGTGTAACGTGCTGGCGGTCAGCCATGCATTCTGTGAGATGAAGGTGAGGCTTATGTAGCGTAGAACTCGATTTATTACCAGCACTATATGGACGCATCGTAGAGCTATTTTTTTTAAATTGTTCACCATCTCATTTGATCAAGATGAGTACCCCGCCATCTTGAAACAAATATCTACCTTTTTAGCCTTTTTCCAAGTTATCTAGACAACTGCAAAGATCGCTTAACAGTTTGGTTTATAACATATTTTAATAAACTTCAAAGCATAAATGACACGGTACTAAATGCAGATAAAACACTTAAACCGGAAAATCAAGTTCGGCGAAATATATTTAAATGGCACAAAAGAATGACACAAAAAAATGGCACAGTAAGCGAAGCTTGCGTAAGGATGTCCCTTAAGCACATTGGAAGAACGTCTTCAACAAGTTTGACGGTCCTATATTTGAAACAGCTACTAATCTCGATGTCCGGACAGTCGGGTGCCTCAGATTTTAGTAAAATGTTTTTTATCTTGCAATTTCCTGAAAGCTGATAATACGGAACTCGAATTTATTTTCGATTTGTTGATTGTTTGCAGAGGGAATTCAATGCTATACTAAATTAAAATTATCAAAACACCAGTTGGTACAGAGTCAATACTAATATATAGTGTACCAATCGATACCCAAACATCAATCTGATCTAAATATTGAAAGGGTTTTCCCAACTTTCGCTAACAATAAATAGCAACGAACGTCATTGCAGATTTAATGTTAATTCCCAAGATTTACCACAAAAACATTATAGGATGTTCATATAAAGTTTTTCAGTATGACATAATTCATCTCCATACATGTACGTATGTAGATGTTTTCATTTTTTATACTAAATATGAAAAACAACAAGAGAATAACGAGTGTGAACAAAACTATAATTCGAACTCAAAACCAATAAAACTAGGACAAAATACGACAGATGATAGGCTTACATGACGACCATTGAAAAGGTACAAGGAGAATAAGACCAGGTGCTCCGGAAGAGAAAGCGTCTTCTGTTTGATTTACGACACCGGTCTTGTCAAGATGGTTAAAACCAAGTAATCTGAAGTCTTCATACCGAGAACTGAGGTATTGACGACAAAACGACAAGGCACACTAATGTTAATCATTAAAATAAATCGACCTTCATACCACACACACAAATAACGTATTGTCCTATGATTGCGAATTTAAAACTTTTCAAAAGTCTTCATCAACCTGCATCTTTGGAACGTTTGTGTTTTAAGTTTTTCCGTCAAGTCAACAGAAATACGAACGGTGATATAAATATATGGATGTAAACCACTCGAGTAAGCTTAACGAAGGCAAAAATGGATAGAATAGTATGCAATGACTGAGTTTCATGTGGACAGTATCTTCGTTGAGTTCTGCACACTATAGTCATTCCTCTGCCAACTCGTGCCTTCTTTGATCTGTTGGCAGACTTGTTTGTTATGAATTTATTACGAGTTTGCTGTAATATTATGACTTCAAGGATAGATGTCGACTGCTGATGGCCAAACTTACAACACAAGGTTTCTATATGCTGGTTGAAGACTATGGACGAGTTCCGTTGTCGCTATCACGGTCTGACAGGGAAATATCCCCTTTCCTGTCTTATATGATGTTCGATATGTTTTGTTATGGTCATAAGCGTGTCATAAGGTAGCATAGCATAATTAATTTGAAGTGTACAACTGTTCCCAGTGTTCAACTCAAGATCCAATCCTTATATTTCAATCAACGTGTTTTTTTCAATAATTGTCTCGGGTTCTGGAGCATGTGAAAGTCTACGTATTGACGTAATGTAAAATATAGTCCGTCAACTCATTGAAGGACCACCATACAACATGATGGTATACGTCGATAGTTCAATACAGTCAAATTATGTAGAAACAAATTACACAACATTATTTAAAATGTCATAATGAATTTTTGTTGATGAATAAATAAGATACATGTATCAAATTTTCTGATGCGTCATCGCGGAAGAAAAATGTCTAGACGCGGTGCACAGGCTCGGCTGCGAGTCTACGGCAGCCATCTTTTTACTTGCTCGAAGTGGAGAGGCGCTAAATTTCAAGGTTCTACATGTTCTGGAATGTGAAGCTGCAGTAACTAAATGTTAAATTAGACAGGAAACCAGACATGGCTTGAAAGGAAGAAACATTTGATATGCCATAAAGACGGTACCGCATGGATCTTGCACAAGGGTTCGTTACAAGTATCTGAAATTTACACAAATGTATGTATGTTTATGTGTGCTGTGACCCATATCAGTTATATTATGATATGTGTATTTCAGACATTTGTAACGAACCCCTGTGGATCTACGTTGCTTGCACAAAGCAGAATGGGTAGCTGGAGTGACAATTTCTAGGGCAGTTCATGATTTGTCACTACCGCTAGCAACCGTGAGCTGATACTCTTTTGCTGATTGCTCATTTTCGGTTGTTTAAACAATTTCTTTTTTGCTTCAATAAAAATGTAAAAATCTCATCAAGTGTTATCTTTGTTTAAACATGTCAATAGTTATCTCCCTTCGCAAAATCATACGCACAGGCAATGTTAATCTGGTCAAATTCATCGGCAAATGAAACGGGTTACATTTGGTAGTTGCATTGAGTCCAACTTGAGTAGGAATTGAAATGTAAGAATTCATTAAAAGATTTAAACATATGACGTCTGTGACCTTGAATGTTGAACAAGGACATTCAGTTGAACATAGTTTATAGTCTTCCAACCCAGCATGCTTCTGGCAAAAAAACATTATCCTAGACCTTTTTGTTATATAGCACAAGCCATTTAACGTTTTTAACAGTTATTGACCACTGTGACATTGAAAATGGGTGAAGGTCATTCATTTGAACATAGTCTTTCATCCAAGCATGCTACTGGCCAAATATCATCACCCTTTGATCCCTGTGACCCTGAAAAAAGGTGAAGGTCATTCATTTAGACAAACTTGGCAATCCTTCATCCAAGCATGCTACAGGCCCAATATCAGTACCCTGGGACTTTTGGTTATTAAGAAGAAGTTGTTTAAAGTAAAATATTGACGCCGGACGACGGACGGACGACGGCATAAGCTCACTTGGCCCTTCGGGCTAGGTGAGATAAAAACTTTGTGTTGTATGAATATCATCAGTTTGTATTGAAACATAACTGTCAAGATATGTAGGAGAAATAAGGAAAATCAACTTTTATCCAACAGTACAATGTACAACTTTTTCATGGCTGACCAAAGTTGAACAAAGTCCATATCTTTTGACCTTTGGGTTATCAGGGGATTTTTTTAGAAGTGTTCCTAATCATCAGCTTTCTGTCCCTGAATAGTTTTCCATTTTATTGTGTACAATGTACTTTGCAAATGAATAGCAACTGTTTACTGACTCGTGTTTGATAATTTTTGCTAGATTTATAGCGTTGAATATCTTCTGCAAACTAACTATAAATCTTAAAATATACTTAGCTGAAATAATATCAGTTTCTAAGAAAATTAGTATAAATAATATCTTAGTGCAGGTAATGTTAATCTATTGATTGCTGTAACAAATCACGAGTGGATAACGTGTTGATGGTCGTGTGGAAGTTTTCTGTCGTTCTGTCTCGCTCTCAGTCGTACCCGAGCTGTACACGAGTTGTCCCTAGCTATCTCTAGCCGTCCTCTAGCCATCCTCTAGCCGTCCTCTAGCCATCCTCTAGCCGTCCTCTAGCCATCCTCTAGACCTACTGATATGATGTCCTTTTGCTAGGTTATACTTATACCCCATACCCACATCGATGTACAGGGATTATAACATTGCCTTCAGCCGTAATCTCTCATAAAGGCTGATCAACCTATCATAATCAATTGTATTTGTACATGCATAGCCGGTCATTTGACAATTCACATTACATGTAGGTAATCCTGGGATCACCAGCGTCTGTCATAGAGACTTTGAAGCTCCTTACATCTACTTCCTAGTGTGACGTAACCATCATTGCGCATATATGACTATACTAAATATAGATTGAAAAAAGCCTAATTACGCAAACCTCGGATTAGAATTTCTGACCTGTATTTCCTCGTGCTAGATTTAATCAATTTCAGGTATTGCTGACTATGTCACATTGTACCTGGTGCATCCAACTATTGAGCATCATAATTGGTAATCGTTCAAAAATCTAAGACGTCAAGCACGTTACAGAATGTTCTTCAAATATGTCACAATTGTTGTTATTTTTATACGTACAGTGACTACGCACAACAAGAAAATATACATTGCCGACCATGCGAGGAAATAGGAAATGGAAGTTAGTACATTCGCTTATCACAAAGACGGCTCGGTTCTCCGCGTTCCTTCCACATTAAGACTCGCTCCACGTTTACATCCGGGTCAACAAGAATGATTAATATAAGTTGACATAAGTTTATTGTTATGTTGTTCTGTTGATCGACATTTTCTATGTTGAAGATTAGTAAGGAATTGACAGTGAGATTCTAGTTTCTATCCAGATGTTATCAATAGGGGTGTGTATCGTGAGTGATGCTGCGATACAAAACTATCACGAGAACTGGAAGATATAGACAATGTGCATTTAGCGTTTATTTGAAACCTGTCTTCAAACTGTCATCAAATAACAAAAAGTACTGTGTAGACATCATTCAACTTACTTCTATAGAACATCTTTGTCTGTGTTATATGCCCGGTTCTGTGGAGTGAAGCGGTGCGATCACCTGAATACAATATGGAGTCGGTGATTTAATTGAATTGTATCAATTCAGTACTCAAAGTCGGAAAAGATGTGCTAAGTGGATCTAATCATAATGAACTTCCAGAAAGTTCCGCTTTTTACCGGTTTTATTTTGAATGTGGAATGGACCCTAAAATGCAACCAAAAAAACTCCAAAACAAGAATGAAACCAGATATGTGTAAGGGCTATGTTTAGAGTTGAGGTTCTGCATTTTATATCCAATTATAAACACAATTTATCATATCAACTAAAACTTGTAAAAGTTGATCAGAATGATAAAGATATGTAACGACTGTCGTGGTTGTACTGTGTCTTATAAACATTGTATGATCATGTGTACAGAAACATTCTCAACTTAATACGCATATGGGCATGTTCAACTCTGTATAAGGTGATAAAGCACATGTTTAACTCGATATAAGAAGAACGTGCACAATTTCAACTAAATATGACGTAAACAGGTACATTATATAACTCGATATAAGGTATACAAATTATTTTCGACTGATAAAAGATGAACAGGTACACGATTAATTCGATAAAGGTGAACAGGTACACGTTTCATTCGATAAAGGTGAACAGGTACCCGTTTAATTCGATAAAGGAGAACAGGAACACGTTTAATTCGATAAAGGTGAACAGGTACACGTTTAATTCGAAAAAAGGTGAGCAGGCACATGTTCAACTCAAGCGAATGTAAACGAGCACATGTTGATCTCAAGCGAATGTAAACGTAAACGATCACATGTTCAACTCGATATTATGATGCAATACTTTCAACTTGATATAAGGTGAATAGGCACATGCTTAAAATATGACAAATTGAATATAAGTATATCTGATTTAATTAGGCATATAAGTTTGATATGCACATGTTCAATGTGATATCGGTCAATGTGATTAGGCATAGGTCTATTGCGAAACCATGTGAGTAGACAGCTCCTACGGTATTCGATGTAGACAGCATATAATTATCACGATTAAAGGTGAACGCTATCAGAACACTGAATACTGGGATGTATGCATCAATACCGAAAATATCACTATCAACAGTAAACAGTACAACAAACAAAGTTATCAAATGTGAGAGGTGAAATTAAATGGGGCGAAAATTGTATCATGGGTAAAGGACGAAATTTTCGCAGGGCGAGTTTCCCGGTATATAGTAACACACAGTGTTGATTTGTGCTCTTTCTGTGCAACAGGAGACTATAAGGCACACGTTTAACTCCATATAGGGTGGATGAGTAAACGTTTACATAAGTTAACGATATGTTTATAAAGAACAGTAACGTACTGGAGGTTTATACAAGATTATTCTCAATTTGGTAAATATTCATTTTAATTTGAAATTGGGGAACAGTATACTTTTTCGTAACAAATATGTCCTACTGTATGTGCCAAGGTGTTGACGTTGGTTTCCAGACTTACCTTTGCTATCATGTTTTGTATGTATATCCTCAGTAGCGGTATCATAACGATTCCGACAATGACTGACAGCAGTCCCAGAGACAGACATACCAGACTGCACCTCCAGGTCTTCTTACCCATGGTGTACAGGGCACTGTGGACAGCACGAGAACGACTGGTAATACAAGTACACAAGGAACGAGACAGCACGAGAACGACTGGTAATACAAGTACACAAGGAACGATATCTCTCCGAGTATATACCCTACCCAGTCATTCTATAACGGCTACATACACGTGACATCTTTTTATCAATCAAATATTCTGTTTATAGAGAGTTTGGACCTACATATAACTGGATTATTTTACTGTGCACTTGTAAAGTTCAATAACCCCTGGGCTTACTGACACTGACAAGATTAATGGGCAATATAATCTAATGATCTTATCGATCAGAGGATCGCTACATATTTTTATCTTAAGTAAATATTACTTGATTACGCGAGTTTTATATCATTTCATGTCATTCCCTTGCAAAATTAAAGAGTGAGGTGAGACCACGGATTTCAGTAATAATTGTATTTATCTTCAATATTTGGAAGAGTTCATTACCCTGGTGGTACCCTGTTGACCTATGTGAGGCTGCGGATATAATATATCATATAATTCCAATATTAGTCCTACAATAAAAGTCATTTTACATGTCAAACCAACTGCAGCATTCTATGTCAATGTATATTTCCCACAAACATGTCTTAGAAAGTGTTGGAAAATTCTTCGGCAAAAAACAATGCAAAATATATCCAAATAACAAAATGTCTTACTACTATGAATGATAATTCGTCAAAACAGCTTTCGAACATAAGGTTTATAAATTCGACACCACACACTTAAAGTGTTAAAAGTTGAAAGGAGTGTAAGCAATGTCGCCATTAGCGACGCTCCCAGTGCTCCCAAAGCATATGATACTATCTATAATAGTTCATAAATGTCACAAATTGTTGATATGTTAAAGAAGGGGTTAAAACGAAGCAAAATCAGGAAAACAGACATTGAAAACGTTTCAGGATACATTCAAATATTTCAACATTAGACTGTCGTTCTCCAAACTCCCAATTATGTTTCTTTTACGGCCCGTTTGATTTGCATCCTCGAAATTCAAGGGTTATACTCACTTCCGTTCCCTGCACCCCTGGAATATGTTATGATAAGATTGAATGCACACAGAAATATATCTGAGTGGTTTCTGTTTAAACGATAAAACTGACTAATTGCTAGTCTGCCACCTGTCCCTTTAAGAGTGCATAGCGCCGCCACTCAAATCAATAGCCCTTCAGTGTTACCGTTACGATGCCTCACGATGCTTGTGATACACACCAATAGATCCATCCTCGATATCCAGGGGTTACGCCCACTTACGCTCTCTGCAGCGTGCGTGAGCGTAACCCCTTGATATCGGGGATGCAATAGATTAAGCTTGTCTACTTGTATGAACCGCCAGGGGGCGCAAACAGAGCCTTCGACGTTATTGCGATGTATTCCAGAGGAACAGAGGATGTAGTTGAGTTTTATCCCTGGAATTTCGAACATGAAGGATTTGTTGCCAGCTAGAATATCCGGGCTGGCTCGGATAGGATTATCGGATGATCCCTTCTCTCAATTTACCGTAAATCCTTGAAGTCAGGCCTTGTTGAATTTCCGTTTTATCATCTGTGTCATATATAGCAATAGAAACAATGAAAACACACTTCATGGGACTGGGAAAGTTCGGAGACTTTTTGTTAAATGCTTAACTTATCTCTTTTGATTTTAAAAAGAATTTGTTTATATGTGTGTGTGTGTGTGTGTGTGAATAAAAAGAATAAAGAGTTAATTTGATTATATTAATATTCTGGTTCTCAAGCAATATATACCCATAAAAGTATTAAAAATTCAATTAAAAGTTCCTTAGGTTAAAAAAAGGCACAGAAATATAAAGTCGTACATAACGACTGTAATAAACAGTAACGATTGCAATTTATCATTTTTCTCTCATAAAAACGGTTGTATGTTTGTTTGTCTCTCCGTTCCGTCCGTCCCTTCCATCCCTTCCGTCCCTTCCATCCACTCTCCTTCCGTCCCTCCCATCCCCTCTCCTTCCATCCCTTCCGTCCCTTCCATCCCCTCCCCTTCCGTCCCTTCCATCCACTCTCCTTCCGTCCCTTCCGTCCCTTCCAATCCCTCTCCTTCCGTCCCCTCCGTCCCTCCCGTCCCTTCCGTCCCTTCCGTCGCTTCCGTCAATTCCGTCCCTTCCATCCCTTCTCCTTCCATCCCTTCCCTCCCTTCCCTCCCTTCCCCCCCCTCTCCTTCCGTCCCTCCGCTCCTTCCCTTGCCTCACCTTCCGTCCCTTCCGTCCCTTCCATCCCGTCTCCTTCCCTCCCTTCGGTCCCTTCCATCCCTTCGGTCCCTTCCATCCCTCTCCTTCCATCCCTTCCGTCCCTTCCATCCCCTCTCCTTCCGTCCCTTCCTTCCCTTCCATCCCTTTCCTTCCTTCCCTTTCGTCCCTTCCATCCCCTCTCCTCCCGCCCCTTCCGCCCCTTCCATCCCTTCCATCCCCTCTCCTTCCGTTTCTTCCGTCTCTTCCCCCTCCTCTCCTTCCGCCCCCTCCGTGCCTTCCGTCCCCGCTCCTTCCGTCCCTTCCGTCCCTTCCGTCCCCTCTCCCTCCTCCCTTTCCTCCCCTTCCTTCCCTCTCCTTCCGTCCCCTCCGTCCCTTCCATCCCCTCTCCTTCCGTCCCTTCCGTCCCTTCCAATCCCTCTCCTTCCGTCCCTTCCACCTCCTCTCCTTCCGTCCCTTCCTTCCCTTCCATCCCTCTCCTTCCGTCCCTTCCGTCCCTTCCATCCCCTCTCCTTCCGTCCCTTCCGTCCCTTCCATCCCCTCTCCTTCCGTCCCTTCCGTCCCTTCCATCCCCTCTCCTTCCGTCCCTTCCGTCCCTTCCATCCCCTCTCCTTCCGTCCCTTCCGTCCCTTCCATCCCCTCTCCTTCCGTCCCTTCCGTCCCTTCCATCCCCTCTCCTTCCGTCCCTTCCGTCCCTTCCATCCCTTCCATCCCCTCTCCTTCCGTCCCCTCCGTCCCTTCCATCCCCTCTCCTTCCGTCCCTTCCGTCCCTTCCGTCCCTTCCATCCCCTCTCCTTCCGTCCCTTCCATCCCATCTCTCCTTCCCCTTCCATCCCCTCTATCGAATGACAGTGATAATGATATGGAGGGTAGACAACTCTATACTACACGCTGACACAGTGCTGCTGTCGCTGCTGCTGCTGGTGATGATGATGACAATGCTTTTTATGGCGATGACGAGGTTGATGATTAATTAGTATTATTAAATGTAGCTATGTGAGAGTGTGTGAATGTCATTTTAAGAGGTCACTTTCTGCAGATAACTCGCAACTATTTTTGTACCGGAAGAAGTACATTCCTTAGTCGAACTAATTAAAGCAAGCACGTATGATACCGCCAAGTATAACTAAATTCGTCTAGTTGACAGCTCAAACTGCGAAACACACGCAGTATAATTGTTACATTAGTATGAGTCATAGTATGAGATAAAATACAAAAAAACGAAATTCGCTGTGATAATTTTATATAAACAAATGACAAAAGAGTTTCTTAGTACTTCTCTTGTACTTTCATTTCTATAGAAGTTCATCTGGGTAAATGAGTAAACTAAGGAAGTGTATATATATATTATATATATACATAGGCAAAGAAGTAATAACGGCAGTGCAGACAAAGACATTTGTCATATTTTCAGGGCGATCTGCCTCTTTATAAAGACAGGAACATGTACATATCACAACATAAAACAGAGAAAATCAATCACCATGAGACAATAATACAATAAAAAATACATAAACAAACAGAAGTTACTTATATAAAATAGGCTGTTGCAATTGCAACAATATGTATCATATACGTATACTAGCGGAAAAAGAAACTGTGCATGCGGAGAATTGTTATAGAACATGTATTACCAACTGTGCATGTATATATATGAAAATTCACACACATGACCGAGTATGACCCATACACACTATCCGTGTGTCATTGACAGTTTTTCCCGGCAGTTTGGCTCTATAGGCGTTGACCAGTTTGCACGTTTTTCTCGTCCAGCCATCCAATTCGACAATGAAATTTTATTTTTCAACTGTTGGGTTACTCTGTTGAGACCAGTGAACAGTAAAAACAGCATTATAACGTTTTAATTTGTGATTGCTTCAAGCTGGTATGGGCCAAGCCGTTTTCTCTACACGTTTTCATGTCCATCGAAACACAATCCGGGATTTGTGGGGACGAAATCAACAGTTTGGCCACGTCGGCGATCGACCTCGTGCGGGACGTCCACGTGTGACGTCACGTCAACAGGACAACTATATTCGGCCTGTCCACTTGAGAAATCGCTCCCAAACGGCAAGTTTGCCTGCACGGACAATCCCTGGGTTGCTACCAATAAGCCCGAGAACTGTACGGAACGGATTGCGTGAACGAGCTATCCGTCCGCGACGTCCTGCAATCCGCCCAGTTCTCCTGCCACGTCATCGTGTAGCACGTCTGGACTGGTGCAGAAGGCATCTGCGATTTACTCGACGGGATACGGCAGGCGTTCCGGAGTGTATCGTCGCGTGGGAGAACGTTTCCGTGACGCGTGTGTGGTACAACGACGTTCTTTCGGCGAAGGCAGCGTTATGATTTGGGGCGGCATCTCAGCCAACGGTAGAACGCCTCTGGTGGTTGTTAACGGGAATTTGAACGCGCTACGTTACCGTGACGAGATCTTTCGGACCCACGTCGTTCCATTCGTGCAAGGGCAGCAACGTCACATTACGCTACAGCAGGACAACGCCAGGCAACACACAGCTCGTGTCGCTATGGACTTTCTGGCCCAGCAGAACGTTGACGTGTTGCCCTGGCCGCCCATCGAACACCTCTGGGATGAAATGAAGCGCAGATTACGGGCATTACCTAATCAATCGGTCACGATGGCTGATTTGGCTGCAGCGTTGGTACAGATCTGGAATGCCATCCCACAAGCATTCTTGAACCGTCTGATCGGCTCCATGCGTCGACGTTGCCAGGCTTGCATTCAGTGGACATACGAGGTATTAACTGTGTGAACTCAGTATTGACCCCTGCTGTGTTTACGTCACTTCTGAGCGGAACTTCTTGATTTCATAACGTGGAAAAAGGAATGCAACTGTTAATAAATAACAAATAAATCGTCCCTGAAAACCTTGTTGTTCTACGTCATCCACATTTATTTTTATAGAATATTTTAGGCATGCACAGTTTCTTTTTTCCGCTAGTATATATATATACGCATCCATGACATTAGCTGTTAAAAGGACGTTCAACAAAACAAAACAAAATAAAAAACACCACATGTACACCGTGTAAGCCATTCCATATCACCACACAATACTCACACAAACCCCACACACAGAAGACCTATAGCCGCTCGCTCCTCGCACAAACCCCACACACAGAAGACATATAGCCACTCAATACTCACTCAAACCCCCAACACAGAAGACCTATAGCCACACAACACTCACACAAACCACACACACAGAAGACCTATAGCAACTCAATACTCACACAAACCACACACACAGAAGACGTATAGCCACTCAATACTCACACAAACCCCACGCACAGAAGACGTATAGCCACACAATACTCACACAAATCCCACACAAAGAAGACCTATAGTCACACAATACTCACTCAAACCCCACAAACAGAAGACATATAGCCACTCAATACTCACACAAACCACACACACAGAAGACCTATAGGCACTCAATACTCACACAAACCACACACACAGAAGACCTATAGGCACTCAATACTCACACAAACCACAAACACAGAAGACCTATAGCCCCTCAATCCTCACACAAACCCCCCACACAGAAGACCTTTAGCCACTCACTACTCACACAAACCTCACACACAGAAGACCTATAGCTACTCAATACTCACACAAACCCCACACACAGAATACCTATAGACACTCAATACTCACACAAACCCCACGCACAGAAGACGTATAGCCACACAGTACCCACACAAACCACACAATACTCACACAACCCCCCCACACAGAAGACCTACAGCCACACAATACTCACACAAACCCGCCACACAGAAGACCTATAGCCACTCCATACTCACACAAACTCCACACACAGAAGAGCTATAGCCACTCACTACTCACACAAACCCCACACACAGGTGACCTATAGCCACACAATACTCACATAAATTACACACACAGAAGACATATAACCACACAATACTCACACAAATCCCACACACAGAAGACCTATTGCCACTCACTACTCACACAAACCTCACACACAGAAGACCTATAGCTACTCAATACTCACACAAACCCCACACACAGAATACCTATAGACACTCAATACTCACACAAACCCCCCATACAGAAGACCTATAGCCACACAATACTCACACAAATCCCACACACAGAAGACCTATTGCCACTCACTACTCACACAAACCCCACACACAGAATACCTATAGACACTCAATACTCACACACACCCCCACACAGAAGACCTATAGCCCCTCAATACTCACAAAAACCCCACACACAGAAGACCTATAGCCACACAATACTCACATAAATTACACACACAGAAGACCTATAACCACACAATACTCACACAAACCCCCCACACAGAAGACCTATAGCCACTCACTACTCACACAAACCTCACACACAGAAGACCTATAGCTACTCAATACTCACACAAACCCCACACACAGAAGACGTATAGCCACACAGTACCCACACAAACCACACAATACTCACACAAACCCCACACACAGAAGACCTATAGCCACTCAATACTCACACAAACCCCACACACAGAAGACCTATAGCCACTCAATACTCACTCAAACCCCCCACACAGAAGACCTATAGCCACACAATACTCACACAAATCCCACACACAGAAGACCTATAGTCACACAATACTCACACAAACCCCACACACAGAAGACCTATAGCCACTCAATACTCACACAAACCCCCCACACAGAAGACCTATAGCCACTCAATACTCACACAAACCCCACACACAGAAGACCTATAGCCACTCAATACTCACACAAACCCCCCACACAGAAGACCTATAGCCACACAATACTCACACAAACCCCACACACAGAAGACCTATAGCCACTCAATACTCACACAAACCCCCCACACAGAAGACCTATAGCCACTCAATACTCACACAAACCCCACACACAGAAGACCTATAGCCACTCAATACTCACACAAACCCCACACACAGAAGACCTATAGCCACTCAATACTCACACAAACCCCACACACAGAAGACCTATAGCCACTCAATACTCACACAAACCCCACACACAGAAGACCTATAGCCACTCAATACTCACACAAACCCCACACACAGAAGACCTATAGCCACTCAATACTCACACAAACCCCACACACAGAAGACCTATAGCCACACAATACTCACACAAACCCCACACACAGAAGACCTATAGCCACTCAATACTCACACAAACCCCACACACAGAAGACCTATAGCCACTCAATACTCACACAAACCCCACACACAGAAGACCTATAGCCACTCAATACTCACACAAACCCCACACACAGAAGACCTATAGCCACTCAATACTCACTCAAACCACCCACACAGAAGACCTATAGCCACACAATACTCACACAAATCACACACACAGAAGACCTATAGCCACTCAATACTCACACAAACCCCACACACAGAAGACCTATAGCCACTCAATACTCACTCAAACCCCCCACACAGAAGACCTATAGCCACACAATACTCACACAAACCCCACACACAGAAGACCTATAGCCACTCAATACTCACACAAACCCCACACACAGAAGACCTATAGCCACTCAATACTCACTCAAACCCCCCACACAGAAGACCTATAGCCACACAATACTCACACAAACCCCACACACAGAAGACCTATAGCCACTCAATACTCACACAAACCCCACACACAGAAGACCTATAGCCACTCAATACTCACACAAACCCCCCACACAGAAGACCTATAGCCACACAATACTCACACAAACCCCACACACAGAAGACCTATAGCCACTCAATACTCACACAAACCCCACACACAGAAGACCTATAGCCACTCAATACTCACACAAACCCCCCACACAGAAGACCTATAGCCACACAATACTCACACAAACCCCCCACACAGAAGACCTATAGCCACTCAATACTCACACAAACCCCACACACAGAAGACCTATAGCCACTCAATACTCACACAAACCCCACACACAGAAGACCTATAGCCACACAATACTCACACAAACCACACACACAGAAGACCTATAGCCACACAATACTCACACAAACACACACACACAGAAGACCTATAGCCACACAATACTCACACAAACCACACACAGAGAAAACGTATAGCCACAGGACGTGTCAGCAGCTTGTATAGGTAAGGCATTTGTAGGTACACTTTGTAGGAAATAAACAAATTACACGTTTGCAGCTTTGCAAATGGCAGATCTACAATTTGTACATAGGCCTGTTATAATCAAACGATGTGTACTCATATGTATATGGTATATTCATTGTTTATATGTAAACGTGTCTTATGTAGTGCACCCTAATGGGATTAACGATATCCCATATATCTACATATCGTCTCTAATATTCCTGAACACATGTTTATGTACGTCTTTTTTATTGACAATGATTTCGGGGAAACTAATCGCCTATATTTAGATTTCAATTATCATGACATAACAATAGTATCGGTTCATCTCAGTATAAGCAAAAGTAATTGCATCAAGACCAGTTATCATAATTATGTGCAAAGATATATTAAATGGTACATTTTCAGCTCAGGGACATTGTGACGTAGCCAATTTAGCATTTACTTATATCTAAATAATATAGGTATCCACATGTACAGCGTCAGGTACAGGGACCCATGTTATTGAAGTTCAGGTCACAATATCATTGATGTCTAGATCCACCTGCACTGCATTCTAACATTTTATTATAAACCGTAGTTTCCCATAACAAAAGACATATAAAGTTCTGTCAGTGTCAACATTTTCGAATGAAGAGGGGCCTTAACTCAAAATGGAATCATGACCGACACAGACTAAACAACCCACAAGCGAACCCCAAGCATCTGCTATGCCTCGTCATTTGTTTCAGATCTTATAATTTTTCAAACATGACTAGTCAGTGCCTGAATTACCATAAACGGCCACTTCACCCTAACCTATTCACCTTAGCTATTTAACAGCAAGGCATTTCTTCTTTCATTAGCTTTAAAAACAAAATTTGCTAAACAGTTACATTTTTCTTAAGTCATCAGCTCAAATTTTACCCTATTAGGATTAGTATAATATTTTCTTTGGATAAGTCAGAAAAGTTGCTACAAATAATGATGAAATGGTACTCATCATATTCTCAATTGATACGGTATTGAAACAGGTCTATGTCATCGCCCTACCTCTACGATGTGATGAAACTTTCAGTCTAGTCATCGCTACTCTAAATTTACGAATATTTACAATATCGAAGAATTTTTGTATTCATAATTACATGTGTCAACCAGTTGTATATAAAACGTAGCTCCGGATGACCCGGTTAGCTCAGCAGTCCATACTTGTACAAAAACATCTGTACCTCTTTTAGATAGACACATAAACATACTTATACTACCTACCGCCTGCAGATACCCTACATAACCAAGTAAACAGCAATGACTTTACTAAACTTGCCTTATCATTGACATTATGCGACTCACACTGATCATGCAGTACATTATAAACAGATTTGACCAAATTATTTGCATTTCCACACACAATTGTTAACCAATACTTTATAATTCTATTATACCTCAACAGCCTCAAAGGCATACGAGTTCACCATATACAAAACTTTTCTGTGTGGTAGATTTGACATCCAGTTACCTTTTACAGAACTTTAAATGTAACCAATAGCCATAGCAGTATCATAATTATGGGTACACATGTACGTATAGGTACACATGTACTACGTATGGGTACTCATGTAAGTATGGGTACACATGCACTAAGTATGGGTACACATGTAAGTATGGGTACACATGTACTAAGTATGGGTACACATGTACTAAGTATGGGTACACATGTACTTATGGGTACACATGCACTAAGTATGGGTACACATGTACTTATGGGTACACATGTACTAAGTATGGGTACACATGTACTAAGTATGGGTCACTTGAACTAAGTATCACAGGGACCTGCGAATTTGTTACAACTACAACCAAATATAGCTGTAACAAATTATCCGGTCCCTGTGCTAAGTATGGGTACACCTGTACTGCATGGCTACATGTAGCTATTTGGCAGTGAGTAGAATTTCGCAAGGGGAAGGAAAACAAAAAAACTAAACAAAAACACACATACACATAAAACAATTTACATAAACGCATACACATTAAAAGCAAAAAATAATATAAAAATATATAAACATAACTATAGGGGTATATTAACATTATATAATGTTAGAATTTGTTGATCCTTAATACAAAATCTTCAATACTTCAAAATGTGAGCATTTCAATATGCTAATTTTTAATTAAGAGTAATATGAGGGCTATCGTTGAATAAATTGTTAAGATGGTACGTTTATTTTTAAGGCGATTACATTTGGCCACTGTATGTATATACCAAAGACTTTGATAGCAATTTCCATATGTACACACATGTATGTAAATGATCAAAAAGGGCATTGTATATGGTAACTTAAGCCTACGCATAGGACATTTCTTCAGTTCAGTAAATAGGTCACGATTATGAGATAGAAAACCTACCCGCTCTGTTGTTAAATGCTTGATTTCGGAATTCCATGGGTACACATGTACTAAGTATGGGTACACATCACGAGAAAGGAAACACACAGATCTAGACCACCTGTTGATTTTTACGTATATCCACAACACAACACATTCCCGTTCTCAACAGGCATGCTTCCCTCAACCATGGCCATACCGGAATGAGTTGGAACCATTCGTGATCGTCGGAGTTCACAAACAGGTTCTGAACGTCGATCAAAATAACTCCAACTTTGTTTATATATACTATGCGCCTCGCTCTGTACGGAATTTATTTAGTTTTAAATGTCGTTAGCTTTCGAGTTACTGTATACATACGGACGATCGAGTGGCCGTTGTATTGTGGTTAAGGGTCACTGACGCGGACAGGGTGCTCCGGGGCTATTAATGTGGACGTGTATATTTGACCCGCTTTGCCGTGGAAATGAGGTCAGCTAAACAACTATTTTGATTCGTTTTGTCCTTTTTTTGTAAATCTGATAGCAACACTTGATTTATTTGTTGGTGATTGTTAAGGTTCCAGTAACAACCGAGGTAGCTAGTCGTTGTGACACCAGGGCCGTTTTCGTTTATCGCGGTCTAAACGGTTAAACCGGTTGGACCAAAGTTGTTTGTTTATAAACTATGGTCGGACTCATTAATTTGATGTTACTTTCAGGTGATGAGCCTTGACAAAGCTTTGCAAGGCCTGCATACACATTTGCAGGTCCGCCAAGATTTATACCCAAAAATGTTACACCTACATTTTTATTAAAACACACTGAATACAAAAGTGTTCGTTAGAAACTTCAACTGACGTTGTAGTTTATCTTGTCCTCTTGTGTTGACGTTGTTGTATATTTTGTCCTTGTTTGTTGACATTGCTATATATTTTGTCCTTGTCTGTTGACGCTGTATTATATTTTGTTCTTATATGTTGACTCTGTAGTATATTTTGTCTTTGTTTGTTGATGTTGTTGTATATTTTGTCCTTGTTTGTTGACGTGGTAGTATATTTTGTCCTCTTGTGTTGAGGTTGTTGTATATTTGTCCTTGCATGCTGACGTTGTAATATATCTTGTTCTCTTGTGTTGACGTTGTTGTATACTTTGTCCTTGTATGTTGACGTTGTTGTATATTTTGTACTTGTTTGTTGACGCTGTAGTATATTTTGTCTTTGTATGTTGATGTTGTTGTATATTTTGTCGTTGTTTGTTGACGTGGTGGTATATTTTGTCCTCTTGTGTTGAGGTTGTTGTATATATTGTCATTGTATGTTGACGTGGTAGTATATTTTGTCCTCTTGTGTTGAGGTTGTTGTATATTTGTCCTTGCATGCTGACGTTGTAATATATCTTGTTTTCTTGTGTTGACGTTGTTGTATATTTTGTCCTTGTATGCTGACGTTGTTGTATATGTTGTCATTGTATGCTGACGTTGTTATATATTTTGTCCATGTGTATTGACGCTGTATTATATTTTGTCAGTGTTTGTTGACGCTGTATTATATTTTGTCCTTGTATGTTGACGCTGTATTTTTTTATTTTTTTTTATGTTGATGTTGTTTTTATTTTGTCCTTGTATGTTGACGTTGTTGTAAATTGTGTCCTTGTTTGTTGACGCTGTAATATATTTTGTCTTTGTATGTTGATGTTGTTGTATATTTTGTCCTTGACTGTTGACTTTGTAGTATATTTTGTCCTCTTGTGTTGAGGTTGTTGTATATATTGTCATTGTATGCTGACGTTGTAATATATCTTGTTTTCTTGTGTTGACGTTGTTGTATATTTTGTCCTTGTATGCTGACGTTGTTGTATATGTTGTCATTGTATGCTGACCTCGTTGTGAATGTTGTCATTGTATGCTGACGTTGTTATATATTTTGTCATTGTATCTTGACGTTGTTGTAAATTGTGTCCTTGTTTGTTGACGTGGTAGTATATTTTGTCCTCTTGTGTTGAGGTTGTTGTATATTTGTCCTTGCATGCTGACGTTGTAATATATCTTGTTCTCTTGTGTTGACGTTGATGTATACTTTGTCCTTGTATGTTGACGTTGTTGTATATTTTGTCCTTGTTTGTTGATGTTGATGTATATTTTGTCCTCTCGTGTTGACGTTGTTTTATATTTTATCCTCTTTTGTTGACGTTGTTGTATATTTTGTCCTTGTTTGTTGACTTGGTAGTATATTTTGTCTTTGTATGTTGATGTTGTTGTATATTTTGTCGTTGTTTGTTGACGTGGTAGTATATTTTGTCCTCTTGAGTTGAGGTTGTTGTATATATTGTCATTGTATGTTGGCGTTGTAATATATCTTGTCCTCTTCTGTTGACGTTGTTGTATATTTTGTCCTTGTATGCTGACGTTGTTGTATATGTTGTCCTTGTATGCTGACGTTGTTGTATATGTTGTCATTGTATGCTGACGTTGTTATATATTTTGTCCATGTGTGTTGACGCTGTATTATATTTTGTCAGTGTTTGTTGACGCTGTATTATATTTTGTCCTTGTATGTTGACGCTGTATTTTATTTTGTTTTTTTTACGTTGATGTTGTTGTTTATTTTGTCCACTTGTGTTGACGTTGTTGTATATTTTGTCCTCTTTTGTTGACGTTGTATATTTTGTCCTTGTATGATGACGTTGTTGTAAATTGTGTCCTTGTTTGTTGACGTGGTAGTATATTTTGTCCACTTGTGTTGAGGTTGTTGTATATTTTATCACTGTATGCAGAGTTTTTTTCATAGTTGTTGACGCTGTTATTGTTTTTTGTCCCTGTATGTTGACGTTTTAGTATATTGTGTTCTTGAGTGTAAATGCGGTACTTTTCTTTTCTGGCCTCGTTGAATGAAGGAATGTCATAAATACATCTAATTGCATTGCTAAATATAACAACAAATCAATCCTAGACGAAATTTTAAAAAAAAGGTATTGTATTGAATTAAACATGAAAAAGATCTACTGTCGTTTTTATGAAAATATGAATTACAAAATTCATTCATATATATTACACATTTCACATAAAGCATAAAGCATTACGCACTGCAAATAAAGGCTGTCGTACCGGGTTTCCATTAGGAAGCCATAAAATAAATACATGAATCGAGAAATAATAGTACATCAAGAGTTGTAATGACGAATGTATAAAAGACTGTCAACTTTCATTTCCCTTAAGTATATATGCAATTTCTACTTTCAACAGAACATGTCTGTGAGTCTCTTCTCCTTATCAAACAACCGAATGTTTTAGCCGAGACATATTTTGGAGAATATACTCCAAGTAAAAACAATCCTTCTGTAAAGATCTATGTCGTCTATGTATTTCCTACATCGCCTTCTTGATGTTTGGCACAAGAACATATATTACTTTTATACAATCGATTCCTCATCAGCAAGGTTCATGCTGTTACCATGGCGATACAGAGGAATTGCATAATATACTAATCATGCCAATGAGATAAGCCCAAAAGAGAAAGTAGGTTTTGAAAACATATAACAAACCGTATGTCAAAATGACACTGGAAAACTGAAGTTGTGCGCTACGCAGTGAAAAATCCTACGGAATTTTGCATCCCGTTGTTTTGATATGTTTATAGTTTATAGTATTAACATAACAATTGTTATGAACAATTGTCTATAATACTGTCATATATTTTAAACATTCATGCCGGCACGAATGTATAAAAATAATCTGTTCGACATGTAATTCATATTAAAAAAATATTACAGTGATGTAAATGAAACAGTTCGTCAAAATGACACTGACCACGTAACGACATGGTCAGTATAGACTGAAGTATGGATCTGGGGTTTTCTACCACATTTTCGCTAGGGAAGCTATAAACCTGCCTTTACCTACTTAAAGAACAGATATCTCATACGTGCTATTTCTCTGAAAACGTCATCATCGCGATTTCACTTTATGCGGCGTTCACACAGTGCCGATTATGGCTCCCGTTTGAGATCAGACAGCGCTACGACACGAAAAGCGAAAAGTCGGATTACTATCCTCAATGATCTGGCATGTCCTATTATTGTCTGAACGCAGTCGTATACGTTCGTAACAGAGTCCTACGGGTCGGGAATGGTCCGGAGAGGTCGGCCAAGCACTCCCGACAGATACATTTGTAGGTGCGTCCCGTAACATTCAGGAAACTCAGCCGATTTTGTCTAGTCGGATTACTATCGTGACTATGTCGTAACAGATTCTGCTGTATCGGATCAAAGTCGTAACAATATCCTGTGTCCTGACGGTGTCGTGTGGATCGGGACGCTGTCTTGATGAACGGGCAAGATTTAGAGAATATTTCCATTGCCGTTTCTACCCGATTAAGTCGAGATTGCGTCCAGATCTTGCCGAATGCGTCGGTTCACTGTCCGGTCACTGTCTGATCTCTGTCGGATCGCGTTCGGGAGAATCGGGACGCTGTCGGGACAGATTCGGTCGTTTTTTACCATGCGGAAGATACAAATCGGATCAGATTCGGATTGAGAACGGGAGAATCGGGACGAATTCGGCTGGAAACGGCTGAATCGGGACGCTTCCTGAACAATATCTGATTGTTGTCGAGATAAAATAAATGTTTTCACAAATTTGTGAATTTCCCGCCACGAATCACAGGATCTTGATCAGACTTTTGACAAATTTTAATCGGGAGTGGTCCTTTCAAGGACGGCAGTAAAAATCCTGAATGTGTGAATGAGGCTTTATACAGCGTTACCATGTAAATGTGATCAACTTTGTCACATACGCGTGCGCTCCTGATGATTGCGCGGTTCACCATAACAGCTTATTATACGCCCGTCAAATTTTGACAGGGGTATTATGGTATGGGTTCGTCCGCCCGTCCGTCCTGAGTAAACTTTTGTTTGTCCAGCAATCTCCTCCTACATTTTTCTATCGATCTCTTTGAAACTTGGTATACATTATAATCATGATATGAAGTTGTGTCTCCCCGAAAAGAATTTCGATTTGACATTTTTTAAAAAGTTATTGCCCTTTGTTCATTTCAGTATAAATGGATGTTTTAAATGCTATCACATCATTATATTTTAACTATGAATGTAGAATTAGAGTAAATCGTGTTTTAACGCCACCCATGGATACAAAGCAAGGTCTGAAACAAGGTTGTAATGCCTCAACAACAATTTCTTTTCTATGTACATAAATGATTTAGCAAAAGATATTAATGATTTGAAATGCGGTATAGATATTGAATCGTGTATTATCTCCATACAACTGTATGCTGGTGACATTGCACTCATTGCCCCCGGATGAAA